ACAAAATTGACCCAAAGCATTAACATTTCCTGCTTGTAATGTGGAGTAGAACTAGCTTTAAACTCATTTATTCATAGGTCACTATATCTAATTTTCTTAAACCCTTTCTAACAGGGTAATTTCCATAAGACTGGCATGTGACTGATGCCGATTCATTATTTAATGTAGAAAATTTGAACCAAGAAACTTCAGACCAGAGCTCTGTACAACATATTTGAAGGGAAATTAAAATATATTATGCAATGAATGCATAGATTACAATAACCATAAAGTATATGAAAAAAGATTATATCTTTTTATAAGGAGATAAAGTAAGCAGCCTATAGATTATACCATTTTCTTTCCTTCCATCACAGGTGGAAGGAAAGAAAATTGCTTGATTCCCCCAACCACACAATCAGTGTTGATGGGGGAATCCTTCCTGCAGTGCTATTGTGTTCTGCTGCCAAAGAGCCTTCCTTGCAGGAGGAACACAATGATCATTGTTGGTGGCTATAGACACTGGCAGTGATCTAAACAACAGGCTGGTTGTACTGAAGTTAATTGGTGGATTGACTCCAGTACCATCAGTCTGGTCATAGATGGATCAGATTTTGGCTGAACCCTGCTGAACACGCCAAGATTCAGTCCATCTCTGTCCGGCTTTAAAGCATATGTATAGTTTTTTGGGGTTTTTTTTAGTTTTAGCATAAGATAGTGAAAGGTTAGCTTCTTTTTCAAGATTATTACTGTCTTTGTGTCCATTGTATAGATTGACATTTTTTTTGTCCTGGTCACCATTATTGCTGAGACAGAAGTGAGCGGAAGTCCAAAAATATTAATTGTTACCCAGGGTAAAGGTAAGGGAAATGCCTCTAATGAGGACATTTGTTTCTGTGACAACTCTCTATAATAATAATAATAATAATAATAATTAAACATATTAATTTATATAAGATTATATTCTGTTCCTGTTTTTTCTGCAGGACAGGAAGGGAATAGAAAGCTCCTTCAATGGCACAGGGACACTTGACAGCAAAAAAATAACCTATAGGGTTTTAGCCTTTCTTTACTCCAAATATAATTTTTTTTTATTTAAATACACTTGAAAGTGGTACTAAGTTCCAACATAAAATATCTTGGTTAGAAGGTAGAGTTTTTTTGGAAGAAGATACACTCAAAGTATCTTCTGCCAAACGTTTTCCTTGCTCCTAGCATTTGTTGATTACATGTGCACTACTGCAATGCATTCCAGCTCATTCCCATCATCTGCAAGTTGATGAAAACCAAGCCTGGTGATGGGATGATGGAACTCTTATGCTAAATGGCAGAGACAGAAGACACCAGACCCAGAAGAAAACCAGCAGAAGATGTCATTGACTATAGAGAGAGTGTAGGCAGGGGGCACGCACATAACATCACTAAAGGCTGGCACATTAGCATACTACTAATGTAATATACTGTATCTAGACCAGTGGTTCTCAACCTTCCTAATGCCGTGACCCTTTAATACAGTTCCTCATGTTGTGGTGACCCCCAACCATAAAATTACTTTCGTTGCTACTTCATAACTGTAAATTTTCTACTATTATGAATCGTAATGTAAATATCTGATATGCAGGATGTATTTTCATTGTTACAAATTGAACATAATTAAAGCATAGTGATTATTCACAAAAACAATTATAATTATATTTCATGAAGTGTCGTTTTACCTCCAATACTGCTGCTTTCAACACAGTAGCTGCTTTTAACAGAGTAGCTGCTTTCAACACAGCAGCTGCTTTCTACACAGTAGCTGCTCTTTACACATGTGTGACTGGTCCACATAAGTACATTATGGCGCCAACCCTGTCACATACACCTGTATTTGTACGGGGTGTACAGTGGGGCAAAAAAGTATTTAGTCAGCCACCAATTGTGCAAGTTCTCCCACTTAAAAAGATGAGAGAGGCCTGTAATTGGCATCATAGGTAGACTTCAACTATGAGAGACAAAATGAGAAAAAAAATCCAGACAATCACATTGGCTGATTTGGAAAGAATTTATTTGCAAATTATAGTGGAAAATAAGTATTTAGTCAATATCAAAAGTTCATCTCAATACTTTGTTATATATCCTTTGTTGGCAATGACAGAGGTCAAACGTTTCCTGTAAGTCTTCACAAGTTTGGCACACACTGTTGCTGGTATGTTGGCCCATTCCTCCATGCAGATCTCCTCTAGAGCAGTGATGTTTTGGGGCTGTCTCTGGGCAACACGGACTTTCAACTCCCTCCAAAGGTTTTCTATGGGGTTGAGATCTGGAGACTGGCTAGGCCACTCCAGGACCTTGAAATGCTTCTTACGAAGCCACTCCTTTGTTGCCCGAGCGGTATGTTTGGGATCATTGTCATGTTGGAAGACCCAGCCACGTTTCATCTTCAAAGCCATTGCTGATGGAAGGAGGTTTGCACTCAAAATCTCACGATACATGGCCCCATTCATTCTGTCCTGTACATGGATCAGTCGTCCTGGTCCCTTTGCGGAGAAACAGCCCCAAAGCATGATGTTGCCACCCCCATGCTTCACAGTAGGTATGGTGTTCTTTGGATGCAACTCAGCATTCTCTCTCCTCCAAACACGACGAGTTGTGTTTCTACCAAACAGTTCTATTTTGGTTTCATCTGACCATATGACATTCTCCCAATCCTCTTCTGGATCATCCAGATGCTCTCTAGCAAACTTCAGACGGGCCCGGACATGTGTTGGCTTAAGCAGGGGGACACGTCGGGCACTGCAGGATCTGAGTCCCTGGCGGCGTAGTCTGTTACTGATGGTAGCCTTTGTTACGTTGGTCCCAGCTCTCTGCAGGTCATTCACTAGGTCCCTCCGTGTGGTCCTGGGATTTTTGCTCACCGTTCTTGTGATCATTTTGACCCCACGGGGTGAGATCTTGCATGGAGCCCCAGATCAAGGGAGATTATCAGTGGACTTGTATGTCTTCTATTTTCTAATTATTGCTCCCACAGTTGATTTGTTCACAACAAGCTGCTTGCCTATTGCAGATTCAGTCTTCCCACCCTGGTGCAGGTCTACAATTTTGTTTCTGGTGTCCTTCGACAGCTCTTTGGTCTTCACCATAGTCGAGTTTGGAGTGTGACTCTTTGAGGTTGTAGACAGGTGTCTTTTATACTGATAACAAGTTCAAACAGGTGCCATTGATACAGGTAATGAGTGCAGGACAGAGGAGCCTCTTAAAGAAGAAGGTACAGGTCTGTGACAGCCAGAAATCTTGCTTGTTTGTAGGTGACCAAATACTTATTTTCCACCATAATTTGCAAATAAATTCTTTCCAAATCAGCCAATGTGATTGTCTGGATTTTTTTTCTCATTTTGTCTCTCATAGTTGAGGTCTACCTATGATGCCAATTACAGGCCTCTCTCATCTTTTTAAGTGGGAGAACTTGCACAATTGGTGGCTGACTAAATACTTTTTTGCCCCACTGTATGTGATGGGGTTGGCGCGGTGATGTCATCACGCCGGGTACTCGTATCTGGGCGTATCTGCATGTGGACGGACACGCCTGGAGATGGATAGAGGAGCGGTGTCTCGGTTTCTAAGACCATTGGAAATATGTGTTTTCCGATGGTCTTAGGCGACCCATGTGAAAGGGTCGTTTGACCCCCACAGGGGTCACGACCCACAGGTTGAGAACCGCTGATCTAGACCTTGCAACATTGATTTATATTGTTCCTTATATTAGCCTGGAACAGGAGTTAAAAAATAGGAAAAAATATCTGTGCAAGGAACTGGTTTAAGGTAAAAAAAAGAAGAAAGAGAAAGTTCAAAACTGAACGTGTTCACAATATATTAAAGTTAGTAGTCTTTTTATTGCTTAGTTGAATTAGAATATAATGCGACCATTTGCTGCTGACACAAAATTATATAGAATGATTCAAAACCAGCAGGATAGTAATAATACAAGATTTATGGCAAATGGTGACATGGGCAGTTAAATCCAGACTGAATATTTTTTTAGACACAAGGTTATGTATTTATAAAGTGCTAATATCAGTGGTATTATACATAAAATAAAATACAACTGAGGAAAACAGAATTAGAGAAGGACTTGCAAAGATGTTAAGTATATCTAAAGCCAGGACTTCTTTTTTTAGTTTTATGGAGTGAAGAAGGGTAAATACCATTGTCAGACTTTTATTGCTGTCTGTCACCCCAGTGGAGAGATTTGCCCTCCCTGTTTGTGACCCTATCTGTGACCCCAATTGAGAGATTTACCCTCTCTATTTGCCCTGAGACCAGTTGCCAGCAAAGCAAGTATAAAGGTGAGACCCCTAATCTGCTTACAACTGTCTAATGGGGGTTTCCTTACTTTGGATACATTTCTTCTTACTTTCTGCTTCCCATGGATTAAATTGTTGGATATGTATTGAGGAGCACCAAGAACATACGCTGATCTCACTAAAAGGACTTTTTAAAATATTTAATGGTTATTAACATCAAATACAGCCAATGAGCTTTGGGGAAAGAAGCCTCCCTTCTTTAGAGATTGAGTTATCATTGCACATCAGGCTGAAAAAAAAGCATGAGTGAAGTTTTTACCAAATTTTAGACACACTTTAACCACCCCCTGCCCGTCATATAAGGAAATGATGGGAGGGCAGCGGTTCTCTTGTTTTGGGAGGATGTCCTCGCACTCTGGCTGCACATGAGTGACCACGGGGTGCGCGGCAATCGGTGGTGCACTGTGTCCCTGGGACACAGTGGATCACTGATCGCAGTAAAGAGCTGATGATGTAGGCTCTATCATGTGATGAGCTGTGTCCAATCACAGCTAAACGCATGTAAATAGGGAATGCCGGTTATCAGCAGTCCTCTCTTCGTGCTGACAGCTCGTGAGGAGAGGAGAGCTGGTAAGCGGCTTTCCTCAGAGGGGACATGTACACTGATCATCAGGGCACTGATTATCAGTGTAGCCCCATCAGTACCACTTGTCAGTGCCCATAATTGCCACCTGCCAGTGCCCATCAATGCCACATACCAGTGTCCATTAGTGCACATCAATGCCACATATCAGCACCCATCAGAGCTGCCTTTCAATGCTGTTGATCAGTGCCAGTCAGTGCTGCCTATCAGTTCCAGTCAGTACCACCTATCAGTTCCACCTATCAGTGCCCATCAGTGCTGCCAATCAGTGCCACCTATCAGTACCAGTCAGTGCTGCCTATCAGTGCCATCTATCAGTAACCATCAGTGCCGCCAAGCAGTGCCACCTATCAGTGCCCATCAGTGCCGCCAATCAGTGCCACCTTTCAGTGCCAGTCAGTGCCGTCTATCAGTGCCAGTCAATGCTGCCTATCAGTGCCAGTAAGTGCCACCTAACAGTTACAATCAGTGCTCCCTATCAGTGCTCGTCAGTGCCGCCTATCAGTGCCCATCAGTGCTGCCTATCAGTGCCATATATGAGTGCTGCCTTTCAGTGCCCATCAGTGATGCCTGTTATTGCTGACCAGTGATGCCTGTCAATGCCCATCAGTGCTGCCTATCAGTGTCTTCTCATCAGTGCCGATCAATGCAGCCTCATAAGTGCACATCAGTGAAGGAGAAAAATTACTTAATCACAATTTTATAACAGAAACTAAGAAAAAAATGTTTTTTTTTCAAAATTTTCAGTAATTTTTAGTTTGATTAGCAAAAAAATAAAAACCCAGTGGTGATTAAATACCACCAAAAGAAATCTCTATCTGTCTCAAAAATATTATAAAAATGTTGTTTGGGTACAGTGTTGCATGACTGCACAATAGTCATTCAAAGTACAACATTGCTGAAAGCTGAAAATTGGCCTGGGCAGGAAGGGGGTAAAAGTTCCCGGTAGGCAAGTGGTTAGAAGCAGAAGTCAGTACATAGGAGAATCTGCCAAACTATATAAAATCATCAGATTTGTAAAGAGGAATTAATGGAGAGTATGCCTGTATAGCATTGCTCCTGTATATTGCACTTGCAGTGCCATATCTAGAATATGGAGATCTGTTTTGAGAACTACAGTGAAAATATATTAAAGACCTAGATGGGCTACAAAGTCTCAAAAATATATTAGTAAAAGAGATGGGAGACTTCACTTTAAGGAAAGGTTAAAATATTGAACAGGCTTATTGGACAACCTATATGTCATCCACATAGGGATTCACAACCACAACCTCTGATGGAAGTTAGTCTTTGTTCAGAGATTTTTTAGCTTTGTTCTGTATTGTATTTTAGAGTTTTAGTAAATCTTAGATCATATATATAATACATTTTAGTAAGCATTTGTAGTTATTTAAAACATCAGGAATTCCTATTACAAATTCAATGTCCAATGGACCCGATGGCTAAATCACCCCAAAAATGCTCAGTACAACCCTGATGGCATTTCATGAGATGAAATCACACCCCATACCAAGACTGGTATCTCCTCAAATACCCAGTTACATCCCTCCTTCCCTCAATCCTAACCTGCCCTACCTTTCCACCAAAAACCCCTTAACACCCCAAACTCCTCACCAATTTTCATCAATTGCACACAAATACTTCTGATGACATTGGACCTCATCCGTCCAATGGGCGGAACTACAACAAAAATAATCAACTATATTTTGTGTATTGCAATATTGTATGTATGAATGAACTATATTTCTTGTCCCTGTTTTTTCCCTGTTTATCTCTGAAAAACTTAATAAATATATTGAAACATAAAACATTATGAATTATAATTATGAATAATTAATTATTCATGAATTACATTATGAATCATATTGTAATTACTATGGAAAATATAAAGCTCACAGAGAGTCAAGGGGATATAGAAATGATGTGATCACATCATGGTCTTCTCAGTAAACAGTGTAATTTATAATGAGGCCCATACTTTAATACAGGTCACAAACACTGATGTTGTTTAGTCGTGCTTGTAATCCAGAAAATGCCAAGTGTAAATACAAAAACCACTACTAGTATATTCCAAAAATGCTATTAAAAACAATCTACTGGATCCACATGAAGCCACATAAAAATGTGAATCGATTGTACACAGGACACCAACTCACTGTGACCAAAACGAAACTAATGTAAAATGGCTTCAGCTCTGCGGGAGAGGTCCCCCAGATGTGTTTTACCCCTAGTAGAGTTAATCGTTGACATTTAAGCCCACCAGTGGGTGAATTGTTCTTGCCATTTCCTGGATTACAAGCAAACATCAAAGACTGGAAGGCTGCCAATCCATCAGGTTAGAGGAGAGCATAGGACAATTATCAGATTGCAGAGCATGGGGCAGGAGGCCTAACAGAACCAAAAGTATCAGGTGCCTGATAACTTATCACCACCTACATTAGTAACATAAGTAATTCTGGACCTACATGAAAAGCAAGAATTTGGGGAGTACAGTAATTGATAGTGTATTTGGATCTATAGTGGTGGCTTGATGTCAGAATTACAGTGTATAGTAGCTAACCCTGCTTTCTTCTGGGTGGAGGGTCTTCTTTACTGTTTACTATTCATAATTAGTGTTTAGGGAATGGTGGCTGAGCAAGCCTCATCTGCTCTTGCTGGCACTCGATCTTTGTGTCAGGGCTGCCCAGCCTTTATTGTACCATGTGTTTCCTTTCTGTTTTTATATTATATGATGTTGTAGTCCTGTAAAACTTCAATAAAAATGTATTGAACCAGAAATATAGAAACTGTGGTGAAGCAAGGAAGGGCTCATAGCATGGAGGAATTCTCTATTATCTTTATTTTTGAAGGTTTTGGACATTCTTTAACACCTTCCCTCCCGGCCTATTGCAGATTGATGGCCGGGCGGGACATTTGCCATTGTGACTGGGCGTCATATGACGTCCTGTCAAAATGAGTCAATCAAGGGGCCGCTGGGCTGCGCAGCAGTGCGATCTGTCACTGGCTATGTCCACGGGACACAGCCAATGACATATCACTACACCAGTCCATTGCCAGTATCATGTGACCGCTGTGACCAATCACAACAGATCACATGTCAATTGTATACAATGGATGGCTTCCTGTCATGCCATCCATTGTATACAATTATATTGTTAGCTGTGACTGGTCAAAACAGTCACATGATACAAACAGGGCCATTCACAGCCCATCTGTATCATGTGATCAGCTTTGCCCAATCACAGCTAATCCCTACAAAAGAAAAATCCTTATCACTTGTCCAGAGTAGTTCTTTGTTACTATGGTAACATTGTATTGCTTTGGTTACAGTGTGTTGAAAAAAAATAGTAAAAAAAGAGAAAATTATGTAATAAAAAAATAATAGAAAATTAAAAAAAATACAAATTATTATTATTATATTTTTACCAAAGAAATGTAGCGGAATACATTTTGACCTAAATGTATGATGAAATGTTATTTATTTGCAAAATTTTATAACAGAAACGAAGAAAAGTGTGTTTTTTTTCAAAAGTTTCAGGGTTTTTTGTTTTATTTAGTAAAAAAAAAAAAAACTTAGTGGCAATTAAACACCACCAAAAGAAAACTCTATTTGTGTGAAAAAAATTATAAAAATTTCATATAGGTACAGTGTTGCTGAAAAATGACCTGGGCAGGAAGGGGGTAAAAGTGCCTGGTATTGATATGGTTAAGTTATGTACTTGTTTTACCACAGCCCCTTTGGTGTATAGATATACTTTATGTAAAAGTATAGACACTTTCAGATGTGTGTCACTTCAGGATATAAAGGACAGCAGGAGGAACCACTGTGTGCAACAGAGTAGAAGAAGCAACTTCATCAGCACATGGGCTGCTGGAAAAGTAAGTATATTTACACTTCTTTTATGGGCTGCTTTCTATGTAGACATGGCCTATAGCTCAATGGCCACTTTAAAACTTAATTTCTGACATTCAAACCAATTGACAATCTTTACATCAGATATGTGGGTGTGTTCTCAGCTGGTTCATCCAATGGATTCTGCAATGGCTACTCTAGTTCCAGAACACCAAGCCATGCTATTTCTAAAGCTCAAACTCTGAGGTTATACCAGGACAAAATCTGATGTGAGTCATTTCATTTGTGTCAAAAAGAAAATGCCAAACTACGCATGCAATTAACCTTTCTATTTATTTTTTTACAGAAATGTGTTATTTGCTTTTGGGTAAAATTAAAATTATAATTGTTTTTGGTTACTTTAAAGGATATGTTCACCTTTTCAGGCAGAATTTCACTTTTCATATTAAAAAGAAGCATTTTCCAATACCATTTCTGGCTCAGCCATCCCAATGTGCTCTCACTTATTTTATCCACAGGACATTTAATTTTTTGTCAGGTTCTGTGAGATTTTGAACAGATTTTCAGATTGCATCATTTCCTGTCGATGGTCTCTCATCATTCACGTCCTGTAGGCCACTTCCCAGAAGCCTTCACTTCCTTGTTGCATCACAGAAGAGGGTATGATAGGGTGTGTTCACCACTCTGGGCCACACCTCCCTCATTGCAATACCTCCTTCCTCTTATTAGCTATGTAGTACAAGGGCCCGTCTGATTTGATACAAATTGAATAGATTGTTCAGGTGCGTCCTCCTATTCCATAGTTCTGGTAAATCTAAAAGAAATTGTACAGAGGAGGGAGTGGATGGAGACACTCAGTTGTCAGACCCCATTCACATCTTCATTTAGTGAAGACTCGCTTTTCCGCATGTGTTTGTTTTGGGCGTTTTGGGCATTTTAATGCAATTTTACTCATCTTACATAGGGCAGCCCATTCATTTGAACAGGCTTCCATACACACAACAATTGCACTAGAAAAGCTCCAGAACTCCTTTTGGAGTGGAGAAGGGTGTGTTACTACAGTTTTTGGTGTGTTTTGCTGCACTTGGGGTGCCTTTGACAAGTAATGACAACACAAACATGATGCACATTTTCAGCGTGTTTCTGAAATGCATTGCAAAGCGTGCATTTTCTGTGCAGATTTACATGCGTTCGGAAGCACACAGATGTGAATGGAGCCTAATTGTTCTGCGTAAACGCACCAATTTCGCTTTCAGGCCCCATTCACACTGAGAGTAGAGGGAGCACATGTTTTTTGGCTAATTTTTCCAGTGACACGCATAGAGCAACCTGATGATTTCAATGGGCTGCACTACACATGGCAAAGTAGCTCACGGGATATTTTGGAGTGATGCGTGCTGCACATTTTTTGCTGCATTTGGTAATCTGCTTCTGGGGTCCTACTGGCTCCTCTATCCTTTGTCGACATTCTAGGAATTGAAAAAGAAATTTACCAAAGGCTAAGGTAAGGCCTTTCTCTCCAGGTCAAAGAAAGCTTGTATATTTTTGAAACTGAGGTACATTAATGGTATATTGGTGCATAGGGGAGCTGGATTTTATTAAAAAAAAGGGAACATGGCCTTTAATTTTTATTAAAACATAAAATGTTTAAATATTCATATCTGTATAATTTGTTCTTTTTCAAAATCTATCTAAAAACTATTATTTAACCCTTTGGCGCCGGATCCTCCTGGCCCTTTAAGGGTTGCAGAAGCGGGCAGGGTTTTACAGTTATGTGACTGCCATGATTCGTTGTCACATGATCGGGAAAGGACCTTTCTGTGAGTACCAGACATATGTGCTGGGAGTGCGCAGGGCGCTCACTCTCAGCAAATATGTTTTTTTTAATTGCACGCAAATGTGTGGCCGCTTGGCGTCAAGGAGCACACGCCGAGAGGCTGCACATTTGCGTGCGCTCGGCGTGAAGAGGTTGAAATGTATCAATTTATGATGCTAATAAGAAATCCCAGCATTATGTCCATTGTTGTGGAAACCTTGTGTAATGCTAAGAAAAAAAGTCCATTGACCAGTTTATTTGAATTGAGAAGAAGAGGAATCCCGCATGAATCAAACTGCAATGTAGGTGGTTCTAAAGGCAGAAGAATATTTACCTTAATGCATTCTCTGCATTAAAAGCAGATCCCCCTCCAGTTTTTTCACCTTATACTTATTTGAGCCTGTTTTGATCCATGTAGTCTAGGAGACAGCCATTGGCTCCTGCTGCTGTCAATCACAACCAGTGAGAAGGGAGCCGGCAGGGCAGGGACAGGGGTGGACTGACAACTCATGGGGCCCCCGGGCAATAGGGGATCATTGGGCCCCTGTGTCCTTGCCCAAACTCAAAAAAGCCTATGAAAAAGGTACCAGGGGCATCCCATGGGGCCCCCTACTGACCCCGGGCCCTCGGGCCGAGTTTCCAAATGGTCAGTCCGCCCCTGGGCAGGGACGAACTGCGCTCTGTGCATCAATGAACACTCAGAGCTGGCTCAGGAGCGAGCACACATGCACTCAATGGGGGGAGGGGATAAGCCAGGAGGTCCAGCAAGGGACCCCAGAAGAGGAGGATTAGGGCTGCTCTGGGAAAAAAACATTGCACAGGTAAGTATGACATGTTTGTTATTTAAAAAAAAAAGAATCCTTTACAATTACTGTTGGCAGTGGTTATTTTGTGAGCCTACTGCTCTAACTTAGAGCAAGCCATTTGCTCAGTTAAAAAATCAATTAAAACACTAAATATTGTATTTATTAATGCTGAAAACATTGAGAGGTAAGCATAAAAATACATTTTTTGCTTTTATTTGACAGCAAGGCAGAATATGTCTAAGATCCATAGCCGTTTTCAATTCAGAAATGTCTTATAAGTAATTAATAAGATAGAGTACCCCCAATTGATTTATTGTCACTATCAATAAATCAATATGCTTACACTGTGTTGGAGGTTCAATAAATCAATACCAATTAAACTTATCTCCAGGATAGAGTATGAAAGGGATGATAACCAAAAAGAAATAATAATGAACATTCAGGCTATATTACTGAATGACAAGCAGCTTGGCAAACTGGATTGGTTTGGTTTAATTCACATTATAAGGACTCGTTCTTTTTGACATAGTTTTCTCAAAAATCAACATAATGTTGTTAAAGCAAAACCCCAGCAAACAGATAAATACACAGATGAGGTACAAACATAGAATCTGTTTTATCTGCCATAGGATTTGCATTTATTTCCAGCCAGTTCTGCAACTTACTCAGTTCTGCCACAGAGTACAGCCAACTTTGCAAGGGCAGGGGACATCATTTTTTTACAATTGAATAATGAGCTCTTCTTTCAGTTATTCTGCCCTCTATTGGCATATCCCTTGTTAGCAGATGAGTCCTACAGACACTGATGGGGTCCCTGGCTGTTTCTCCCCTCTCCCATTCTGAGCTGTATAGGTAATCTCAAGAGGCTGAAACCAGATAAAATGCAGGCACTTACACTACTTGCTTTTAAGTTACATATAATGATATATTATTAAATATAGGGCTGCATTAAAGTGTTACTAAACCTACAGCAGTAAAATCAGTCTGTATATGCAGTAAAGCATGCTTGTTATACTCCCTGTGGAAACTAAGAGGTTAATCTTCTGCACCAGGGGCGGACTTCTTTTTCAGTGCTCAGTCAGCAGCCAGCCTTTTCACCCAGCAGCAGGCTTTCATAGAGAGCACTAAGCATCGGTCAATTCACATATACAAATGTCTTTGCACAGCTAGGGCTAAAAATGAGGTCTGACCGGGTGGCAGACTGACCATTTGGAAACTTGGGCACTGCCCGAGAGCTCGGGGTCAGTAGGGGGTCCCATGAAATGCCCCTGGTACCTTTCTCATAGGCTTTTTTGAGTTTGAGCAAGGACACGGGGGCCCCATGATCCCCTATTGCCTGGGGGTCCATGAATTTTCAGTCCGCCCCTGTTCTGCAATGTGTAAAAATGCTGTTTGATCCTGTCCTCTCGTATCCAACCCTTCTTCCAGTGCCCCCCTCTTATCTCCTGACAAGACATATGGGGGTTTATTTACTAAAGCTGGAGAGTCCAAAATCAGACTCCCTTCTGCATAGAAACCAATCAGCTTCCAGGTTTCATTGCCAAAGCTTCATTGAACAAGCTGAGGTTAGAAGCTGATCAGTTTCTATGCAGAAGGGAGTCTGATTTTGGACTCTCCAGCTTTAGTAAATAAACCCCATGGAGTCACTCTGCACATGCTCAGATTGGTATGTATTGCTAGAGATTTGTTTTTTTTTGGGGGGGGGAGGAGTGGGTGTGATCAGCACAGGGGTACTGCATCCTCCTACAGTAGAATTAATACTCCTCCTACAAGCTTTAACCAGTGTTTTGCTGAACACTGATAGAAGCCACAAGACTGTTCTAACTGCTGATCAGAAAAGGCATTTAGCAGTTTATATTTACTAAAATAATTGCATTTCCATGTTGTGTGTACTGTGGGAGACCAGATACAGTGAATGCAGGGTCCGGGGTTTAGTAACACTTTAATGTGTGTCCTTAATATCTACCTGGAGATCTAGTATTTTTTTTTTGTTCTATTGAAAGTTTTTTTTACTCTAAAAAGCTTTTATTCATGACTTTGTATAATTTAAGCATATATATGAATGGTGATACAGAACAGACCCTCAAGTGGACACAGCTGAGAACCAGGCCAACTTTTTCCAAGAGGATAAATATTGCTTATTGTTTATTTAGTTGTTTTTTTCTTTTATATTGCATGATTTTTTTTTTTGCTATAAAAAGCTTTTATTAGTGACTTAATTAGTAATTAGAGCATTTATATGGATGGTGATGCAGAACAGACCCACAAGTGGACATAGTAGGTCTGTCAGCTGAGAACCAGGCCAACTCTTTCCAAAAGAATAAGTATTCCAAAAACAACAATCTTTGACAAAATGTTGCAAAATGTTATAATTTGCATTAAACTGACTGACAAATAACATTTAAAAGTAGCAGGGGATTTTTTAAGTCCTCTCCACATGATAACCGAATCTTAATAAGCTCTTACTAACAAATATGAAATGGCAAATTTTCATTAATTCAAGGCATTTTGTCCTTTTTCTCCTTTTTTAATAATCTACTTTATAAAAGCTTTACATGCAAAGTTATGATGCCAAAGGACAAACTGTGAAGAGTAGAGAAACCGGAAAAAGGCAAAACAGATAAGAAAACATGTGAAATAAGAAAACTTGCAACATTTGTTTTCTCTGATTTCCCTTTAGGGAAGTACCCACAAAACGTTGTAGCCATTTGTAGCCATAGCTCAAGGTGCTCTGTTGGTAAAAAATCTGGTGTCTCACAACAATGTAAGGGTGCAAGCTGTCTTGTGCTTGATCCAGAAAGCAGTGAAGAATGAAGGGATGAGAGGCACCACACACCACTAGCTCAACAGGTGAAGGATGTGAACAGGCCATAGCATGGAATTCCTCCTAAGCCACGCCCATTTGATGCATTTCACCCCATGAAATGCATCACAGGGGCGTGGCTTATGAGACTTTCCAAGCTGAGGCCATTAAAATTCCTCTCCACCTGTTGAGCTAGTGGTGTGCGTTGTCTCTCATCCCTTCATGCATCCCCTTTAGGGAAGAGAAAGACATGCCTAGTTTAGGGTGGTGTACCTGTTTGTGCATTTATTTCTAGTTGTGGTATTTTTGCCGTAGTCCTAATTTTAAGCAAGATATATTATTCTTAACAGCTTTATAAACCTCTTTCATCCCACAATCTGTATATTAACCACTTGCTCTCCGGAAGATTTACTCCCTTCATGACTAGACCATTTTTCGCTATATGGTGCTGCACTACTTTAACTGACAATTGAGTAATCATGCAACACTGTACACAAATGAAATGTATATAATTGTTTTACACAAATAGAGCTTTATTTTGATGGTTTTTGACCATCACTGGGCTTTTGATTTTTTGTGCTATAAATGAAAAAAAAATTTGAAAAAAAAAACAATTTTTTTTACTGTTTGCTATAAAACATATCCCAATAATTGTTTCTAAAAAAAATGAAATAGCATCTACAAAGCGCGGTATATGTACTATATATATATTTTTAATATATATATATATTAGTAATGGCGGTGATCAGCGGGACTGCGATACTATGGTGGGCATTCTAACACTAACTGACACTAGGTGGAAACTGACTAACTGCCACTGACATCTCCAGTGACACTAATACAATGATCAGTGCTAATAAAAAGTACTGACGCTGTACTAATGACAGTGGGTAGGATGAGGTTATCATTTGGGGTGATCAAAGGGTTAACTGTGTACTGAGTTGTGATTTATCTATGCACTGTCTTGTGTTTTTCTAGGAGACATGCTGGCTTTTATCTCCCTGTTTTCATAGAGATAAAAACCAGAGGTCAGGGGTTCTGAATCCTCCTACAGTAGAATGAAAACTCCTCCTACAAGGTTTAACCAGTGCTTTGCTGGACACTGATAGAAGTCACAAAACTGCTCCAACTTTTGATGAGAAAAGGTATTTAGCAGTTTATATATTTACTAAAATAATTGCATTTCCATGTTGTGTGTACTGTGGGAGAGCAGATATAGTGACTGCAGGGTCCTGGGTTTAGTAACAATTTAATGTGTGTACTTTATATCTACCTGGAGATTTAGTTTTTTTTTTCTTTTCTATTGCATGATTTTAGTTTTGCTATAAAAAGCTTTTTATTAGTGACTTAATTAGTAATTAGAGCATTTATATGGATGGTGATGCAGAACAGACCCTCAAGTGGACACAATGGAGTTTATTTACTAAAGCTGGAGAGTACAAAATTAGATGCATTTCTGCATAGAAACCAATCAGCTTCCAGGTTTCATTGCCAAAGCTTAACTGAACAAGCTGAGGTTAGAAGCTGATTGGCTACCATGCAAAGCTGCACTAGATTCTGAGTGAACCAGTTTTAGTAAATCTACCCCAGTAGGTCTGTCAACTGAGAACAAGGCCAACTGTTTCCGAGAGGATAAGTATTCCAAAAACAACAATCTTTGACAAAATGTTGCAAAATGTTATAATTTGCATTAAACTGACTGACAAATAACATTTAAAAGTAGCAGGGGATTTTTTAAGTCCTCTCCACATGATAACTGAATCTTAATAAGCTCTTACTAACAAATGTGAAATGGCAAATTTTCATTAATTCAAGGCATTTTGTCCTTGTTCTCCTTTTTAAAAAATCTATTTTATAAAAGCTTGACATGCAAAATTATGATGCCAAAGGACAAACTGTGAAGAGTAGAGAAACCGGAAAATGGCAAAACAGATAAGGAAAACATGTAAAATAAGAAAACTTGCAACATTTGTTTTCTCTGATTTCCCTTTAGGGAAGTACCCACAAAACTTTGTAGCCATTTGTAGCCATAGCTCAAGGTGCTCTGTTGGTAAAAAATATGGTGTCTCAGAGCAATGTAAGGGTGCAAGCTGTCTTGTGCTTGATCCAAGGCAGTGAAGAATGAAGGTATGAGAGGCACCACACACCACTAGCTCAACAAGTAAAGGATGTGAACAGGCCATAGTCTGGAATTCCTCCTAAGCCACGCCCACTGATGCATTTCACCCCTTGAAATGCATCACAGGGGCGTGGTTTATGAGACTTTCCAAGCTGAGGCCATTAAAATTCCTCTCCACCTGTTGAGCTAGTGGTGTGCGTTGTCTCTCATCCCTTCATGCATCCCCTTTAGGGAAGAGAAAGACATGCCTAGTTTAGGGTGGTGTACCTGTTTGTGCATTTATTTCTAGTTGTGGTATTTTTGCCGTAGTCCTAATTTTCAGCAAGATATATTATTCCTAACAGCTTTATAAACCTCTTTTATCCCACAATCTGTATATTAACCACTTGCCCTCTGGAAGATTTACCCCCTTCATGACTAGACCATTTTTCGCTATAGGTGCTGCACTACTTTAACTGACAATTGAGCAATCATGCAACACTGTACACAAATAAAATGTATATAATTCTTTTTACACAAATAGAGCTTTATTGTGATGGTATTTGATCATCAGCGGGCTTTTTATTTTTGTACTAAAATTAAAAAAATGTGAAAAAAAACAATTTTTTACTGTTTGCTATAAAACATATCCAATAATTGTTTCTAAAAAAATGAAATAGCATCTACAAAGGGCGGTATATGTAAAAACAACCATCTTTGACAAAATGTTACAATTTGCATTAAACTGATTGACAAATAACATTTAAAAGTAGCAGGGGATTTTTTAAAGTCCTCTCCACATGATAACTGACTCTTAATAAGCTCTTACTAGCAAATATGAAATGACAAATTTTCATTATTTCAAGGCACCTTGTCATTTTTTGAAAATAAAAAAAAAAATTTCTTCATAAACATAGGCCAAAATGTATTCTGCTACATGTCTTTGGTAAAAAAAAATCCCAATAAGTGTATAGTAATTGGTTTGGGTGAAAGTTATAGTGTCAACAAAGAGTGGTATATATACTGGAATGTTTTTTTTAAATATACTAGCAATGGCAGTGATCAGCGGGACTGCGATACTATGGCAGGCATTCGGTCACTAACTGACAGCAAGTGGAAACTGACTAACTGCCACTGACATCTTCAGTGACACTAATACAGTGATCAGTGTTAATAAAAAGCACTGGCACTGTACTAATGACACTGGGCAGGAAGGGACTGACATCTGGGGTGATCAAAGGGTTAACAGTGTACTGTGTTGTGATTTAACTATGTACTGTCTTGTGCTTTACTAGGAGACGTGCCGGCTTTTATCTCCCTGTTTTCATAGAGATAAAAACCAGCACGTCCCCACTGACAGGAGAGAGATCTGTGCTCTTTACACTCACAGATCTCTTTCTTGTCAGCTACTCCATCGATCACTGAATCCTGGCCATGAATCGTTGGCTGAGAGCTAATGAGAGCGCGGGTAGGACAGTGTGTGCTCACGTGCCCCCTACCGGAACTGCGAAATCACGTATATATATATATATATATATATATATGTGTGTGAATTTGCGCAGAGCAGCTGCCCTCTAACAGTAAAACTGTTATAGGGCAGCAGGGAAGTTAACATCAGAGAAATACAGCAGAGAAATACACAGCAGCATGTTTCCCTAGTAAAACACACACATCACATTATGTAAAACAGCACACAGTTAACCCTTTGATTGCCCCAGATGTTAACCCCTTCCTGCCCAGTGACATTAGTACAGTGTTATTGCTTTTTATTAGCATTGATCACTGTATTAGTGTCATTGGGATGTCAGTGGCAGTTAGTCAGTTCCCCCCCCAGTGTCAGAATGCCCGCCGCAGTCCCGCAGTCCTGGTATAAGTTGCTGATCGCCGCCATTACTAGTATTAAAAAAAAAAAATTCCAGTATATATACCACCAATCGTAGACGCTATAACTTTCACATGTATTGGGATTATTTTTAGCAAAGACGTAGCAGAATACATTTTGGCCTAAATTTATGACAAAATTACATGTTTTAAATTTTTTTCACTGGATATGTTTTATTACAAAAAGTCAAAACATTGTTTTTTTCTTCAAAATTGTTAGTCTTTTTTTGTTTATAGCCCAAAAAATAAAAATGCAGAGGCGATCAAATCCCACCAAAAGAAAGTTCTATTTGTAGGAAAACAGGATATGAATTTAATTTCTGTACATCGTTGTATGACTGTGAAATTATCAGTTAAAGTAACGCAGCGTTGTATCGTAAACAATTGCCTGGTAAGGAAGGGCGGTAAATCCTCTGGAGGGCAAGTGGTTAAAGCAACATCTTTTTCTGAGTACTGATGAATTCTCCACACACCTTCATTAACAATATATAAATGGCAAGGAACAATGCTGATCTTTATAAACACAAATAAGGCATGCATCAGCCATAAGGGGCTTGGAGCCAAAATCTGTAGAGGAATCCTCCTACTTGGACCCTGAAGTTCTAAAAATCTGGAAGACTGTGAAACTGGATGAGGTTTACCCCTGTTGCTTTGTGTGGACCTAGCCATATAATAATAGAAAAACACACACTTGTAAGTGTACAGAAAAATAATGTTAACCTGCCTAATAAACCTAAATTACCAACACAGGTAGGTTCTGGTACTCCTGTGTAAAACATCTCATTTATAATATTAGATGAAAGTATTTCATGTGTAAATCAGCCTTTGCAAATGATGTACATTCTGCATCTGATGGCTTTGTCAAATATAAAAGGTTAATTGCATTTCATGACTAGCGATACATATAGGGTTCTTAGTTATCTTATATCATATATTAGAAGTCTAATTATGTTTTAAATGTGAAAAGTCTCTGACATACATTTATAAGGCCAAAGAAAAAAAAATGAGACACGTATTGCAGTATCCAGGAATCTAATATGAAAAAAAAAATGCAATGGCATGTGTACAATTGCCTAAATTAATGGCATAAAAAAGGCACTCGTGAGTAAAACAAGCCTCACATGCCCTTTGGTCAGTGCTTAGCTCGAGTAACTAATAAACCTTTGGCTAGCCCTTTTCAATCTTTTTTCAAAGGAATCCTTAAAATATTTATCAGGGATGAATGGAGTGATTTCAGCACTACAAAATTACAGATTTTCCAGTTGGCAGAAACTCGCAATTTCTCTCATTTAGCTAATTAGGTGAAATCATTTACTTGAAAAAAGCAACTCATTGGATTTAAGTTAATTTTACATTTATTTTTCTTTGTATTTATATTTTTTGTGCACGTATTTGTCAGGAATCAGCAGCAGTGATAACCTGATCTGCATGGCTGTACTCAGAAAACTGGGACCAGACTGTGTATGCTTTAAGTGACATTTATTTACAGTGAAACAAAATTCATCCAGACACCTGCACACAGCAAACAAAGATATAAATGAAAATAAAAACAGTGACAGAATACTTGATTAATAAATCTAACAAACAGCCTAACTAACAACTATGTACAATATGGGAACACAGAAAGGCAAAGAAAACTGGAGGTGCAGGGACCAGATGGGAAGGGAGAACAAAAACTGGTGTCAGATACAAGGAGATCAGGAAAGAGGCAACAGGGTGCAGGATGTAGGACAGGAGCAAGATCAGATCTTTGGCAAACAAAGTCAGGCAGCAGCAAGTACTGGAGCAAGAGGCACCATTAGGAGGGAGGGCCTAAATACCCTCCCAGAAGCCAGCATTAGCTGGAAACTGACTACTGAAGTCTGTTGGCTGTTAAGAGACACCTGTCAGTGGACACCGGGACTACAACCCTCCACCCAGGTAGCCACAGTGCCACCAGCAGGTGATCCAAGTCCTATTTGTGTATTTTCCTCCTGGTTTTGATCCAGCAAGACTGGTAACCTTGAGGGTGGCAGGAAACAGTAGCTATTGAAGCAGAACAAAAATATGGTAAATGTATTCTGTATTTTAGAGAATTTTTTCTTCTTGCAAGAAAATAAGCACCTGAAAAGTTTTACATTGTACGTAACTTTTTCTGCATCTTTAATTACTCAAGAAACAAGTTGAAATGAAAGAGAATAGTCTTCCATGAAGTTCTTGTTTTGAAAGAATCATGCTCAGCTAGGTCTAAGCACTGCCAAATTATGATCATGTTCACAGCTACAAACCTGCTTTATTTGACAATGCCTGAGCAACAATAAATACAATTCAAACCTCCAGCTCTCACTACTTACAACCATCATGCAGCAATAATAATAGCTGCATAAAAAGAAGGCTAATTTTTTTGCATATAATTCATCTAGATGAGATTTTTTTCTCAAAAAGACTGACGTTACACTTTAACAGCTGCCGGGCTGCCCTATTGCAGAAATATTGCTACAGGGTGTGCAAAATCATGTATGTATATATATATATATATATATATGTATATATAAATATACGTGATTTTGCAGTTCTGAGTAGCCCTACCCACGCTACCATTCACAGCCTCGGCTGTCAATCACTGGGTCCCCACCGGATTTCTCCCCAGCACCCCAGTATGTCTGACAGGGGAGAGACCTGTGCATAGCAGTGCCATACAAAGCGGTGTGCTTACAGTGAAGCACAGCACACAGTCACATAGTAAAACAGCACACAGTTAACCCTTTGATTACCCCACATGTTAACCCCTTCCTGCCCAGTGCCATTAGTACACTGGCAGTGCTTTTTTTTTAGCACTGATCACTGTATTGGTGTCACTGGGGATGTCAGTGATACCAAGTCAGTTCCCCCCAGTGTCAGAATGCCCACTGCAGTCCCGCAGTCCTGCTGTAAGTTGCTGATCACCGCCACTACTAGTAAAAAAAAATAATCCAGTATATACCGCCATTTGTAAACGCTATAACTTTCACGTAAGCCAATTAATTTACATATTTAAGTATTGGGATTTTCTTTTCAGCAAAGACATGTAGCAGAACACATTTTGGCCTAAATTTACGATGAAATTAGATTTTTTTCATTTTTTTACTGGACATGTTTAATAGCAAAAAGTCAAAATATTGTTTTTTGTTTCCTCAAAATTGTCAGTCTTTGTTTATAGCGCAAAAAATAAAAAATGCAGAGGCTAGCAAATACCCCCGAAAGTAAGCTCTGTGGGGGAAAAAAGAACATTAATTTAATTTGTATATAGTGTTGTATTAGTTAAAATAATGCAGCGCCGTATTGCAAAAAATTGATTGGTCAGGAAGGGGGGTAAATCCTCTGGAGGGCAAGTGATTAAAAGTAAAGTGCAATAGCCCACAGCCACCCATCAGATTTTAGTTTACTAAAGCTAAAATGCTGAATTTGTAATTCTGATTAGTTGTCTTACTGCACATTTCTGTTTGCCCTTTGAAATAAGCCTTTGTAAGTTCATAACATCTGTGAGAATATTAAGTCTATTGAGCAAATATATACAACATGATGAGAGTGTTACTGTTGTTTGTAGGAAGACATGAGCTAAACTAAACAAAATTACATATGTCTGTAGTTCACACAATCTGGATAAAAAGGTACTTCCCTAGAGAACTTTCAGTGCATGGAACCTAGGCTTTTAATATTTTAAAACTCAAAGCACACACCATAATAATACATTTACTGTATTAAAATTCCTCTAACGTGCACAGTGAGCCTTAAAAGCATTATTTTACTAAGATCTATACTTCAGCACCTTTGTAAATAAATCAAAACTTTGTCCCAGGCACCTAAAATTTGCCTCTTTAATAACAGTAGACATACTGACCACTTGTTGGATAATATATTGGTGGACAGGCAGGGAATTAAGGGCAAGACTAATATCAGATGTCTATATGAAAAGTCTGAAAGGCTAACATTAAGCTATAAGCTCCTCCAGGGAAGGGACTTTTGGTGATTTACAGTAAAGTTCATAAAGAATAAGCTTAAAGTGATTCTAAAGAAATGTTTTTTTTTAATATAACAAACATTGTATACTTTTGCACAGAGCAGCCATGATCCTCTTCTTTTTTGGTTCCCTGCCAGCGGCCCTGGCACCTTCTCCCTGCCAAGTACCTGCAATAGCAAGCCTCTTGCTATGGGGGCACTCAAGCAGGCTCACTCCCAAGCCATGCTTTGGTTGTCCATTCACACACAGAGTGGGCTTGCCAACCCCCCGATCTCCCCTCATTGGCTCACTGGTTGTGATTGACAGCAGCAGGAGCCAATGGCTCCCACTGCTGTGTGAGCCCATAAGGAGAGAGAGACCCCAGAGAGCTGCTACTCTCATGTACATTGCTGGATAGAGAAGTGGTCCAGATGAGTACAAGGGAGGACCGAGGGGGGGAGCTGCACCCAGAAGGTTTTTTAACTCAATGCATTAACTTAAAAAAC